AGGAGTGGAGGGTTCATTCTCGTGCTGTGGAATAGGTTCAGGAGATTCCACAGAGTCTGTCCTACATCCTGAGCTTGCAAACTTGGATGCTAAGAAACATGACCCAGACTCTGTGAGGCTGTCTTCACTACCATGCCTGTGTGTGTCACCCTATCCATCGTCAGTCAATTTCTAGTTTCTACTATGTGTGCATATGCATGCCCCAGGTCTTCAACACATACACACATACACACACACCACATGCGCACACACACCCACCACACATACACCACACACACACACACACACACACACACACACACACACGTGGGATGGAGGATGCTCAGGCAGGCAGGAATTGCACACAGGCTAGCATTTGACATTTTCTGAAGTCTCTTGCAGAAGACGATAGAGATGTAAAGCTGATGTGCTTAGCCGTGGGATTCTCTGCTCTGCCGCACTCAGTTGCTGCATTTGGTTCACTCTTCAGCAACTACACCTTGTCCTTTAGGAAGCAGCTGCCTCTAATACGGAAGTGAACTCCTGGAAGCAGAGAGGAGGGGCAAGCTGGAACTGCTTATAGGGAGATATCCACCCCACGCGCACCTGTAGCGCTGACTGTGCCCATTTGGGCATGGTCACAGGTGCGGACATGAAGGAGAGTGGGTTTAAGTCTGGGTCCTACACATAGAAGGCTCTCTCTGGCTTCTGGTCGGGTCACCTAGAGCAGCCTGGGGTGGGGAGCGGAAACTTGCGGGGGGCCATCTGCTCCTTGCGTAAGTGCCGTCTCCCCAAATAAAATTATATTGACCTATATTGAGCTCAGTCCCGTGAATCTTGATCTGTGCATCCAGACTGTAGCACACCTGTCAGGGCAGAGCTGCGGGTTTACACTGAAGCTGCAGTCAGTGGGGAAGGATTTCACACCCCTAAAAGTGTAAAACCTGGTGTGCATCACCTAGGGAAAACAGCGGGGTCTGACTGTCCATGCATCCAGGCGTGCTGACATGTATGGTCCCCAACATCTAATGAAGGAGGGCTGACTTTTGAGTCACATTAGCTACAGCAGTGACATCATGCCAGCACTGTGCTCTTCTTTGGCCTTACTGGTGAGGGGAAGCCTCACACTCTGAGTTGTGGATGTGCAATTCCTATGTTCATGTTCAGGAAGGTGCCACATCTATTTAGCCTGCTGTTTTTGTCTTAAAATTCTTAATACTTTTTGAACATCTTTTTGTTTTGCATTGGAGTCTAAAAATTAGGTCAATAGCTCTATATTCCAGGCATACCCTCATGCCTATATGTTTGTCTGTCACTTAACCTCCATTCTCTGCTTCAGCATTCCTCCTGCTGGAGGGCCCTACCAGTTACAGCAGTGATAGGATTGATAGCTGTAGCAATTCATGCTCAGGAACCAAATCTTCACTATATACTATCCACCATGTGGATAATGCTCATTTTCACATTTGCTCACCCACCCTGTAGGGTAGCATTCATCTTCTTCCCATTCGAGAGCTGAGAAAGTGAGCAGATGCTTACAAAGGCTCAGCATTCAGGCTTACTAAGCCAACAATGAACACTTCACCAGCATCCACATCAGTGGGGTGACTAGACAGGAAGTCCATGGGCCTGCTGCTGTGCTGGGTCACTAATGTACCTGTTGCTTGTCTGGGTGCTATGTGGATTAGGAAGGAGGAAAGCTGTTGGCCCTTCCTCATGTGTCTTTATTTGTGAGGACTCAGTACTGACTCGGGGTGACAAAAGCAGAACATTATAAAATACTGAGCAACACGAGAAAGCACCCAGGCTTGTTTCCACCAGCCTCTATGTATTGGCTCCCAGCAGCTGGATGTCAAGGTAAGCTGGTGAGGAGAAAGTGCTCACCTCCACGATGTCCTTGTGGAGTCTACAGCCTGCTGAGCTCCCAACTCCTCTGAAGATGATGGCACAGTGTGTGTGTGTGTGTGTGTGTGTGTGTGTGTGTGTGTGTGTGTGTTGTATATGTACATGTAGGATGTAACTTAGCTGGGGAGGCCCTAAAATGCCCCCTAGGAGGAGTGCAAGGAGCCGAGAATGGAAGATGAGAAGGACTGAGTGAGAGAAGGGAGGTAGGACATTCCATATAGAGCAGTGGTTCTCAGCCTTCCTAAATGCTGCGACCCTTTAGTACAGTTCCTCATATTGTGGTGACTCCCAACCATAAAATTGTTTCATTGCTACTTCATAATTGTAATTTTGCTGCAGTTGTAATGTAAATGTCTGATGTGTAGAATATCTGATATGCGACCCCATCTACAGGTTGAGAACCACTGATACAGAGGGACTTGCTTGAGCAAACTCTTGGTGCATGCATGATCTTTTCTGAAGGGGGACAGGTCAGGAGGCTAGAGACATAGCCATCAGCAGGACTAGAGGGAAGGTGAGGAGTCTCTCTTTGCCTTAACAGCAGCGACATTTTAAGCAGGAGGTGACCCAATTTACTTCACTAATTACTTTTCTTATCGGTGTGACAAAATACCTGACTAAAACAGCCTAAGGAAGAAAAACTAAGTTGTTTACCTCAGTTTCAGAGTATCCAACCCTTAACCGCTTGGTCAGAATGCCATGATGATGGCAGTTGCAGTAGAAGGCTGTCTCCATCTCATATTCTACAAGAAAGAGGAATGGATGGGAAAGGACCAAGGAGGAAAAATACGCAAGGACCTACCTCCATGGTCTAGTTCCTACAGCTAGGTCCCAGCTTCCTCTAAAGTTTCCAGAACTTCCCAAAATAGCACCATCAACCAGGGCCCAAACCTTCAGAACATGAGTCCCTTGGAAGAACATTTCTTATCCAAGTCAGACCCCTGACCTTTTGTAGAGGTCATTTTCGTGATCGTGTGCAGAATGCCTTGATGGGAAGTGAATAAGTGGACTCAAGCGGAACTGCGTAGGTAGATGTCCATATCACTTCCAACCCTTTAGCTGTGGAGATCCAAGGAGCTCCCAAGCCTTTAACTGGAAAATTCAAATAGCAATTAAATAAACGCGTGTGTGTCAAGAAGGGGGGCCATTGGAGCATCTCAAGGGAAAGCCAGTCATGGGGGGGATTTATGGCTGCTGAATGCATTCTTCTTGGCTCAACAATACTTGTAAGAAATGAAATTGGAAACTGGTGTCAGCACATGGAACTTGGAGTTTGGGGGCAGCTTGATGGGAAGATCTGCAGGATTATTTTTCCAGCCATAAAATTAATATTTAGTCTGCCTTCCTTATCATTTCTGCTCAGAGCCCAAGGTCCTGAGTCTATGATCATATTCTTTCCTTCTCTCCTTCTCTTTTGTGTATATATATATATATGTGTGTGTGTGTGTGTGTGTGTATACAGTGTATGCATATGTATGTTTGTATGTGTGTGTGTACATGTGCATGTGGGCAGAAGCCAGAGGTTGCTGTCTGTCAGGTGTTCTCTTCACCTTTTGAGGCAGTGTCTCTCACTGAACCTGGTGCTTCCTGATTGGGTAGACTGGCTGCCAGTAATCTCTGTGGATTCATCTGACTTCATCCCCTCTCTCAGCACTAGAGTTAAACAGATGTGTGCTGCCACACATGGCTTTTTACAAAAGGGATCTGAACTCATGCCCTCATGCTTGTGTGGCAGGTACCTTACTGACTGAATCATAACTCAATCCAAAGTCTTGTCAAATCAACATCAAATCAATGTCCCCCACCAGCAGTCCTAGGCATTGAAATTAGGGCTCATACATGCTAGGCAACTACTCTACCACTGAGCTACACCCCCAACTCTTTAAACAGTTTTCTTGATGAGTCTTATTCATGTGCAAGTAGAGAGGGACACTTTGGGGCCTGTGTATGTGCCCTTTGAGAGGCACGACAACCTGCCATGCTCATCGTGGAGAACCATAGTCACTCACAATTCAAATCCTAATTGTCCCACCCAACTCAAAGTAACAGCTCCTGAGAGTCCTTTCTTCAGTCAGCTGAAGACAAAAGCCCAGGTTCCTCTCCTCCTGAGGACACAGAGGAGGTCATGGGAGGGAGGCCCAGAGGGCTGCCTTTGTATCTTGCCTTCCACATCATCTGGCTCAATTTAAATTCTTTAGATTACAGACTAAAGGGTCTATACTAAATAATTTATTCCAGTCTCAAAGTTCTAGTACTCTTTTCAGAATCTCTGAGTGAGGTATGGTAGTTTATTAGTTGGTTTTCATGTCACTCCAACAAAATACACAACAAAACGAGGAGAGAATGGTTTACTTTGTCTCACAGTTAGAGAGTTTCTATCCACAGCAATGGGAAAGGCAATGACAAGTGACTCAGATCACGGCAGCTGGAATGTGTGGTGGAGACTTCTTATCTTGGCAGACAAGAAGCAGTGTCAGACAGGAAGTGGGAGAAGATAATACATCCATAAGGACCACCTCCCCAGTTTCCGGTGATCTACTTCCTCCCAGTAGACCCCACCTCCCAAAGTCTCCAAGTCCTCCCAAAATAACTCAGTCAGATGAGGATCAAGCATTGCAAACATAAGACCTCTCTGATTCAAACCATGGCCACTGGCTTGCAAGAAAAGCCACACTCTGTATCATGGCTCAGAGGAAAGGAAGGCTTTGTATTGTGTCTGCCAATGACTCTTTGCTTTTATTGAATTCTATACTCTTCTTTTTTGTTTTGTTTTTTAATTTATTTATTTTCATTGTCTGTCCAATGGTGTTTTGCCTACATGTGTGTCGATGTGAGGGTGCTAGATCCCCTGGAACCAGAGTTATGAGCTGTCATGTGAGTGCTGGGTTTTGAACCCGGATCCTCTGGAAGAGCAACAGCCAGTACTCTTAACCTATGAGCCATCTCCCCAGCCCCTTTCCCTCTTTTTTTTAATTGTCAACCATGTGGCTGTTCTTACCAAAAATAGGAATAAATGTAATTTCCATGCACCGTTAGTTTCTCTCTCAAATACTCCTTTTGAAGCTGGTAAAATGTCTTATTGTTAAAAAATGGTTTCTTTTCACCCCCACTTCCAGGTACAAAGGCTTCAAGGGCAACTGCTCCATGACCTTCATCGATCAGTTTAAAGCGCTGCACCAGTGTAACAAGTACTGTAAAATGCTGGGGCTGAAATCCCTTCAGAACAACAGCCAGAAGCCTAAGAAGTCAAGCATCCTGAAAGGCAGAGTGCAGACAAACTCGGCGCCAGTGAAGCCACCGGAGTCTGGGACTCCCACGGAAAAGAAAGCCTAGCATCCCTCTCTCATCCCTTAGTAACAAGCGACCACCAGCTGGCAGCACACAGGCCTGCGAGTGGACGTCTGCCGACACAGAACAGGAACCTGCAGGGAGTGTCCCAGTCCTTCCCAGCCCACGGTCATTTGCTGTCTGCTGAAACGACTTTGGAAGGGATCCTTGTGACTAGCCTTGTGGGAGACTCATCAGTCCTGGTGTCAGTCTCAAAGACAGTCTGCTTTTATGTGCCCTGCTAGTGTTTCTACACACCTCACGTCGTGTGTCTGTTTGTGTGTTGCACGTGGGTTGTCGTCAAGAGTTCCATGCCGCATGGCAACTGTCCACCTTGTCTTCTCACCTCCGGACGTCTGAAATCATGAATGTCACGTGTCACTTATGCTATTGTTGCTGGAGGTGGCTTCCAAGTGTGAGGCCATTTCCAAGCACTGTTCACATAGCCTGGCACAGTGTTCTGTTTCAATAAATTCGTATTAAAACAAAAGGGTAAGGTGTACACGTCATCGTAGCCACTTGCTCATTGGAATCCGAGCTCTCCCCACGTCCCTCAGAAATCTTGTAATCTAGAAGTTTCCTAACGAGTTTACCGGAGCACGCAATATTTGCATCATTGTTTTCTCATCTTACAACAAACGTTCCATCACTTTCTAAGTGTGCTAGTTAAGTAGGGTGCAACTGCTGCAGAGCCTTTCATGGTGGAAATGTCCTTGCCTCCTTTACTAGACGCTTAGGTTTTTGGTTTTAAATTGCCTGTATTATTTATTGTAGTGCGATTTCACCAGTATGCAAATATTTGGAGAACCAGAGACAGAAGGGGCACCACAGTAAGGTTTGTCCCAGCCAAGGCTCTTGGGGATGGCCTGGTATGACTACATGGCCACCCAATCTGCCATTATGTGCTATTTTCCTTGCACAGTCAAACAATGGCGAGAGCATGAAGCAGGCTTTCTCACACCAAGGCGTGGCGCCAGGACCTCACAATACCCAACCCTATTGCTGTGATTTTGGTTGTTTGCAGCAAGCCAGTTGCTGTTGATTCTCCCATAATGCAACCTCAGGAAGGCTGTAAATACAATGAATGCTCTACTCAGCTAACAGACTAGGGAGGTCCAAAGAGCCCAAAGAGGCTCTTGACATCTGAGAGCAACCAAATACAGATATGGCTTAGCTTACTAAAAGGCTGGGCCATGGAGTTCAGTGATGGGCAGATCATACAAATAAAAGTGTTATGGAAACAAGCCCATATTTCCGACAGCAGGCTCCTTACCAATGAGAATGGCTGGGAAGTGAAGACTTCTTGCCAGTGGACACCCTATCCCTAAGAGGTCCCAAGCTGGCCACACAGACAACTGGTTTGTATCTCCTGTTATCTCTTGTCCTGTACCTCCTAGACTTGCTTCGGATGAGCCTCGCCATAACAAAGGTTTCAATAGAATCTGATTAAAAAGAATCCCCAAAACGGCGGCAATTATTTTCTAATTACAGTCCTCTCTTTTCTAAATATGCATTACATTTGTGTGTGTGGTGGGCCTGCGTTTGTTCAGCTGGATGCGGATGGGAGGCATTTGCCAACAGCCTCATTCTGGCTTGCTTTCTGCTAAGCTGGGTCATGTGTGCTATGGGGAACAGAGCAGTGCTTTGCCTATTCAGACCTACAGCTGCTGCGTTGGCTTAGTGAGTTTTTAAAAAGCATCCAGTCCTCTTCTGTCACTGTGGTAGATCTGCTTGTTCTAAGATCGAAGCTGGCAAGCAAGATGGCAGCCAGTTGCAGCCATGGGATCAAATGACCCATCAGATACTATTAGTAAACGTTAATACTAGTCATGCCAAAAAGATCCCAAAGGCAAAGGAATGGGCCACAGAGATTATTTACTTATTTTATTTATCTATCTATTGCTTCCTTTTGAGACAGGGTCGAATTCAGATCAGGCTGGATTCGAACTTGCTGTACAGTGAGAAAGACCTTGAATACCCTATTCCCCTGCCTCTCCCTCTCAACACCTGGGATTTACAGTCGTGTGCCACTGTGGCTTTCAAAAGACACACCCCGAATCTCGTCAGAAGCCAGCCTTCGTCTTAGATGAATCCAAGCAATTCTGTCGAGGTGTGTAGATGATGTCTCCGAGGCTCAGCCCATTGTTTCTCCATTTCCATGGGATGCTAAGGTGGTGGCTGGCAGTAAGCTGTCTTCAGGGCTTTTGATGCTTGACTTAATTTTAAAGCATAGCCAGGCATAACAAAGTGTCACAACCACCTCGACCAGCAAGGAAGACGCAACACTCGGACTCTTCTTTAAGCAGTTTATTCAGGAACCTTGAACAATCTTCTGACCCCGGGGAGGCCAACCCACACCTTAAAAGCCCTTGGGCGGCCAACCCCAATATGCTACGTGGAACATGCAGATAGGTCCACGTACTCGGAAGCAAGCCTGATATCTAGCCTTAACCAAATACAGGTGGGGCTCTTAAGGAGTTGTTTATCACAGAGAGCACCTGCTGTCGAGCTAGCAGAAGGCGGAAGCCAGCGCCATCTTAAGGGTGCGGCACTTCGAAGCTCTCTACAACAAAGTTACCCCAATTGTTAGGAGGCCTATGTAAGAAACGGTCTTGGTTCTGGAATCTGGGAATCCTACTTCTCCAGGTTGCGGGGCTATAGTGATTTTTTTTACCGTTTATTATAAAACAATGATAGACGCACCAGCTGCCCTTGGCTTCCCAGCTGCGAAGGGCCCCGCCTCCCCTTCTATGGGTGGGGCCTCTCTCTCCAGTCCAGGGAAACTCTATGAACCACCCATCCATCCGACTGTAAGCCCCGCCTCTTGAATCAATGCCTGATTCTAATTGGACAATGGGCCACAGCATAGATAAGATTCCTACAACACAGGGCTCTGTCTCTAAAAGTACAAAGGAAGCTTCTGTCACAGATCTTTCTTGCTTCTAGAAGACCCGTGGCTGATGGCAGCATGGCCCCAGTGTTTACGGCTCTTCTCCGTCTGTGTCCAAACTTCCCCTTGGCGTACATAGACAACAGCCATGTTGGATTAGGGCCCACCCCAAGGATCTCATTTTTAACTTGGTAAGACTCTATAAATAATGCCACATTTTGAGGTTCTGGGGGCTAGGACTCTAACCCAGGCATTGCACCAACAAAGGTGACTTTGGTCTTGGGCTTCTGTATTATCACTTGTGGGCACTTTGTTTAGGTCAGAGGCTCAGCTGGAAAGAAATGATGGCTCCTCAAGGCCCCCCAGTGCCACCTCAGCTAGCTAGCCTGGTGGTGGGAATCTGGGTCATAGGAATGCTCCTGGTTCCAATGGCCCTCTAGTTCTGAGCATCTTTAAAGAGAGATCATCATTGGTCTCCTAGGTCCTTTTCTTAGTGTTCGGGAACTCTTTCCTCAAAAGCTAAGATGGCATGCCTTGCCGCCGTCTGTGCCTCAGCTATCCCCAGATCCCAGGGGCAACGGTGAGGACCACACTGTCTTCTTTCAGTGTGGCTTCACATCCTAGTGGGAAAACAACAAAAACTGTCCTCAGAACCTAGCCGCCAAGACATTGTCCCATCATCTGCCGTTAAGCTGGAGGAAGCCAATGACAAGATGTCTTTTAACCACCTCCCTCAGGGGAGGCACGACAAATTCATGACAAAGGTCAGTGAAATCTCCCAGTATATCCCGAATACCCTTCTCAACTGACCTCAGGACTTCTTTCATCGGCTCCAATAACAGTGGTCTCGTTCTCTGGACACCTCTGCCTCAGATCTTTGCCCCTCTGTTCCCTCTGTCTGGAAGTGTCTTCTCCAGTCTCTGTTCACAGGTCACCACTTCTCCGTCATCCTATTTAAAATCCAATTTAACACCAATCGAAAATCCTGGCTTCTCTAGTCCACTCTGTGCATTAAGTAAAGTGCCTTTATCAACACGAGACAGCATACAGATTTTCTTTCTCTTTCTCTCTCTCTCTCTTTCTTTCTTTCTTTCTTTCTTCCTTTCTTTCATTGTCTCTCTCCTCCAAGGTTTCCCCTGTCCTGGTTTGTTCAAGATGCACCCTAGTACTAGGAAACATCTCCTATAGAGGACCCTTTCACGTGCACTGACTCTCTGCCTAGATATCTCTGTCTCATGTATGCTGGTGCTCCCTGATGCAGAGGTACAGCAGCCTCCAAGAGGAGAAAACTCCTCAGCTCCCCTTCATTCTGCACAAAGCCCTAAGACAGCGACACAGAATACTACCTCAGCTCTGAGCCAGCTAGGGTCGAAGCTCCATTTTAACACTTATAGCTGTGTAAATTTAAAGCAATTGAATCGTTATGAGTCCCATTTAATGACTGGATATAACCACAGCTATCTTGGAGGGATGTGAATATTAATTCACATATGGAAAGAAGTAATGGAGAATGGCAATCCATAATCACAAATCATTACTGTAACCACTAGATTTTAACCTTTTTTTTAGCTTGGGGGAAGAAATACAAAGCTACAGATGTCTGGCTCTCATTCACAATGCAGCAACAGGTGTCACCAATCACCTTACTGTTCACTGGGAGCAAACAGTATGATAAAGGATCCCCTCAGTGATTTGCAACTGTAAACTAACTACATTCTTGAAAGTGTTGGCATTTAAGGCCAGGGGTGGTAGCATATGCCTTTAATCCCACCACTTGGGAGGCAGAGACAAGTGAATCTCTGTGAGTTTGAGACCAGTCTGGTCTACAAGAGCTAGTTCCAGGATAGTTAGGATGACACAGAGAAACACTGTCTTGAAAAACAAAACAAGAAAAGACATTTAAGGAAAGAAGTGTCATATAATGGATGTCTGTAGTGATTTTTTTAAGGTTCAGTTTTTAAGTCATTTCATACTATTTCATTGGTCCCATACCGTAGAACACTCCATATTAGCCCCAGGGAACCCTGACCCTATTGGTTCTAGCCAATTCATATTTTCATTATTTTGCCTCATGTGCCCCAAACTCACCTGAAGCACCAAGAATGTACTACTTCCTGAAAATGTCTGTGGCGTGGTGGCAGGACCGTGGGCATCACTGTCTTTGTTGCTTTTAGGTAGGTGGAGCTTTGATCAGTAACCCTTCCAGCCTCCTGCCCCTCTTTGATCTCCCATCCTTCTGAGCAGAACATCAAAGAAGGTAAGGGGCCAGCAGGAAGAACAAAGGCAGGCCCCGTTTGACAATCTTCAAGCCAGTCTTAGGCAGCAAAAACCAAAACACCCTTGGGCAACAATAAGCAACTTTACCTGGCCACGGGAAGCATGTTCTAGGAGTAAGGAGAACAGAATTCTGGAGGGTTCAAGATTTTGTCTTGACAGACTGGGGAACTGGGCTCAATTCTAGAAAAACTGAACCTAGCCAAACAAGCCATGGCCATGGTTGACCTAGAGGACCTTTGGAAAGTACAATGTTTACCTAGGCAGGAGGAGAAAACAGGACATCTAGTCACATGTGGCACATTTACCTTGTGAGACATCTCTGG